TTTTAACTTGTTTTTCATTTTTAGCTTGTATTTAGCTACTTTTAACTTGTGTTTAGCTACTTTTAGCTTGTGTTTAGCTACATTTAGCATGTGTTTTGTTATTTTAATTTGTGTTTTTCTACTTTTAGGTTGTTTTACCATTTTCAGCTTGAATTTAGCTACTTTTCGCTACTTAAACTGTAGTTAACATCCATTACTTTCCGTTGCTAGCTAGTAACCTTTTGCAACACTTAGCCTGTGTTTTGTTAGCTTTAGCTAATATTTTTCTACTCTTGCTTCTAGCGAGTGTTCCATCATTAGCATTTAGATAATCTTCTATTACTTTTAGCTTGTGATTAGCAACTTTTATCCTGTTTTGAGAGCTTTAGCTAATATTTTTTTCAATCCCAGCTTCTAGCAAGTGTTCCATCATTAGCATTTAGCTAATTCTTTACTACTTTTAGCTTGTGATTAGCAATTTTTAGCCTGTTTTGATAGCTTTAGCTATTTTTTTACCCTCGCTTCTAGCAAGTGTTCCATCATTAGCATTTAGCTAATTCTCTACTACTTTTAGCTTGTGATTAGCAAATTTTAGCCTGTTTTTATAACTTCAGCTATTTTTTACCCTAGCTTCTAGCAAGTGTTCCACTACTAGCATTTAGCTAATTCTTTACTACTTTTCACTTGTGATTAGCAACTTTTAGCCTGTTTTGATAGCTTTAGCTAATATTTTTTCAATCCTAGCTTCTAGCAAGTGTTCCATCATTAGCATTTAGTTAATCTTCTACTACTTTTAGCTTGTGATTAGCAACTTTTAGCCTGTTTTGCTACTTTTAGCCTGTGTTTTGCTACTTTTAGTCTGTTTTGCTAACTTTAGCTATTTTTTTACCCTAGCTTCTTATCTAGCATGTGTTCCATCATTAACATTTAGCTAATTTTCTACTAATTTTAGCTTGTGTTCAGCTACATATTGTTAACATTTTGCTGCTTTCAGCTACTAGCCAGTGTTCCATCATTAGCATTTAAACCTTCTGCTCTTTTAGCTTTAAGCTAGCATGTTGCTTCTTTTAGCTCCAGCTTATTTGTCTGATGGTATTGGAGCTTCATGTCCAGTTTTAATACTTGTTTTTCAGACAGATTAGTTTAAAACCAACAGCTTTAAAATGTTTAAAACAACCAACGCTTCCTGAGCTGAAGGTTAAGGGTTAAAGATGGCGTCTCCTACCAGCCACGGTGACCTTGGCGGTCCGGCTCACGATGCTGCCCAGTCCCTCCAGCGTGGCGAGACACTGGTAGTCTCCCTCGTCGGGCCGGTGGTGCCGGGAGTGGACCACGTTCTGGACCAGCAGGGTGCCGTTGCCCAGCTGCCRCCGCCGCTCGTCCACCACGGCGCTCAGCAGGACGCCGTCTTTACGCCACGTGATGGCGGGAGGCCCCGCCCCCGCGTCAGCCCGAGCCTGGCAGTCCAGCTGCAGCACGCCGCCTCGCACTGTCACCGTGTCCTGAGGCTCCTGCAGGAACCCCAAGTCCACGAAACCAGGACCCGAGGACGAGGAGGACGACGAAGAGGCGTCTGAGGGAGAGAGGAAGAGGAGGAGTTAGTGATGAAGCTGGATGTGTCTCCTGGAGGCAGAAACTCTGACCTCACGCTTCTTTTCTCTTTCTAACAACTCGTTTTTCTTCTCTTTTAGATCCTGACTCTAAACGGCGGCTCTGACTCGTCGTCTTTGATGTCGTCGCCGTTAAAACCTCCTTCATCCTGATCACAGAGGCAGTTTGTTCAGCCGGAGACCTCCGGAGATCCACCTGAAACCACGTCTCCACGGCGGCGGGGACACTTTGAAGTCAGGCTGCAGCTCCGGTTCCTGTTTTTGATTCAGGCTTCTTTTAAAAACCTCCTCCTGCAGGACCAGTTCTCTGAAACACTCCACCATTAAAGAACTGAACACTCTGGAGCCAACAGGTGGAGAAAACACTGTTTGGTGAAAAGAACTCTAAACGTTTAATAAGACCCCCGCACGTGAAGTGGGGGTCTTATTTTTTATTTATTATTGGGGCTTCCCATGCAATGGCAAATCCATTACTCTACTCCTAGTCTTTCTTTATTTCTTTATTCTTCTTCCATCACCTTTAATGCAGCTCGAACCGGAGCATGTACCCTCACAAAGCTTATATCAAAATGACCGGTTTGGAGTGGAGATGTGTGCTATTCAACAACTTTTTGAATCAAATTACTACTGCGGAGAAATTAATGAAAAACCGACCACAAAACACGTCCCAACTTTCAGACACCCGGACCAGCAGAGGGCGCAATCCTGGCTTCATGCTGTAGTGACAGAAGCAGCTATCTCTCATGTGACTTCTGACTTTTAATGTGACGCGTTACAATCTTCAGGTCTGTTCTCAGATGGGTAAGTTCTACAATAGCTGTGTCCAAAACGACAGGCCGGGTCCTCCGGAGGACCCAGACTCCCCGGTCTCGGCGGGCCGGGTCCTTGGTAGACCGGGAAGACCGGAAAAAAAGAGGCTGTGAATTTGGACGGTCTAGCCTCCCCTCCTCACCCCGGCGTACGTCTTGTCACCTAGCAAC